CATGGATCGCACAAAGGTCGACGCCATCACATCCTAGCCGCAGCCGCGCTCGGTACGTGCCCTGCGGGGGTTCCTCGGCCTCACGGGCTACTATCACCGCATTATACAAGATTACGGCGCCATCGCGACGCCCCTCACTCAGTTGCTCTGGAAAGAGGCGTTCGTCTGGTCGCCCGAGGCTACGGCGGCGTTCGAGGCCCTGAAGTGTGCGCTCTCCACCGCCATAGTCCTCCACCTCCCCGACTTCGACAAACAGTTTACGGTGGATTGTGATGCCTTGGGCTCCGGCTTCGGGGCGGTGCTCCATCAAGGCGCCGGGGCGCTCGCCTTCTTCAGCCGGCCGTTCGCGGCGCGTCACTTGAAGCTCGCTGCATACGAACGCGAGTTGATTGGCTTGGTCCAGGTGGTGCACCATTGGCGTCCCTACCTTTGGGGCCGCGCCTTCCTCGTCAGGACGGACCATTGCGCATTGAAGTTTATACTCGAACCATTACGCATTGAAGTTTATACTCGACCAACGGCTCTCCACCGTCCCCTAACATCAATGGGTAAGCAAGCTCTTCGGCTATGATTTCACCGTCGAGTACCCATCGGGCCGCCTTAGCACCGTTGCCGATGCTCTATCCCGTCGAGGGGACGACGACGTGCACCTCCACGCCCTGACCGGCCCTGCCTTCCAGCTCTTCGACGTCCTTCACCGTGAACTGCAAGATGACGCGGCCCTCCGCGACTCCATGGTCGCCGAACGTGGGGCGCCGTGGCGCGTCGTCGATGGGCTGATCCTGCGCGGCTCCCGCGTCTTCGTACCGGCCACATCTGTTATGCTGCTCGACGTGCTGCAGCTGGCGCACGCGGCGGGCCATGAAGGCATCCAGAAGATTTTGCAGCGTCTATGCCAGGACTTCTTCGTCGAACATGATCGCTGCCTTGTCCGGGAGCTTGTGGGCTCATGCCTCACCTGCCAGCGCAACCGGACAGAGAGCCTCCAGCCGGCCGGCCTTATCCAGCCGCTTGACGTGCCCACTCACGTATGGTCTGACATCGCTCTTGACTTCATCAAAGGGTTGCCACGTGTTCATGGCAAGAGTGTGATCCTGACCGTCGTCGATCGATTCTCCAAAAGCACCCACTTCATTGCCATGAGTCACCCCTACACCACGGCATCGGTCGCCAAAGCTTTCTTTAACAACATCGTACGACTACACACAGCTTCCCCAACTCGATTGTCAGTGACCGCGATCCCGTGTTCACTGGCAACGTTTGGCGCGACATCTTCAAGCTAGCTGGTGTCAAGCTGCGGATGAGCACCGCCTTCCACCCGCAGATGGACGGGCAATTGGAGGCGGTGAACAAGATCATCGTGATGTACTTACGGTGCGTCACCGACGACCGTCCGCGCTCCTGGCTGGATTGGCTTCCGTGGGTGGAATATTGCTACAATACTTTGTACCACACGACGCTCGGTACCACTCCATTTGAGGTAGTCTATGGTCGCCCGCCGCCCGCCATTTTGCCTTACACTGCAGGGTCAGCACGCATGGACATGGTGGATGCGCTCTTGAGCAAGCGTGACTCGTTCCTCGCCGATGTCTGCGACCGCCTCCTCCAAGCCCAAGAGTACACTAAGAAGCACTACAATGCGCATCATCGTTCCCTGGAGTTCGCCGTCAACGACTGGGTCTGGCTCCGCATCCTCCATCGCCCTGCTCAGTCCTTGGTGCCCGTACTGCGCGGCAAGCTTGGACCTTGCTTCGCCAGCCCGTTCTAGGTGCTAGAGCGCATCGGGCCTGTCGCCGCCTCTCGCCTCGCCTCACGGACGGTGCGCGCATCCTGGCGTGTTCCACGTGGGTGTCTTTGAAGCCGCACAAAGGCCCCCCGCCGCCACCACGACGCCAACTCTTCCACCACTCCACAATGGTCGCTTCGCTTCCATCGGCTCGCTTTCGCGTCTTTGCGCGCTCAGCTCCGCTCAACTCCGTCGCGGCGTGTGGCACGTCCTCATTCAGTGGGAGACCATGAATGACGCCGAGGCGACTTGGGGAACGATTGAAGACTTGAAGACTTCAAGCTTGCCCTCATTCCAGCTCGAGGACGAGCTGTTCGTCGAGGGGGGAGTGATGTTATGGTGGGGAACGTCTACAAGCGTCGCAACAGGACTAGTGGCTGAACGGTGCACCGCGACACGACTTGGCAAGGCGTGGCGCGTACCACAGCGCGGTCACCGGGGCTATCCATGCATGTGGACGTCTTCAGGGCGCAGTGGCAGTAGTTGTCAACATCCGAGGGTTTCGGAGTGTTAGTTCATTTCATTGTTATTCCTTAATGTTAGCCGAGGTTTGTTAGGATTCATGTATAAGTTGGAACACTTTTGCTTAATGAAGGATCAACCAGGGATTGAGTCTAATCTCTCTCGCTCTCTGGTGCCCTAGCGCTCTCGCTCCCGTTTGCGTTTTTGCACGGCGCCACCACCACGCCAACAGGCATTCAAGCCTCGACCCCGATTAGCCATTCCTACTACCTTCGCAGCAGCATACGCCCCAACAGCATTGAAGTCATGTTTCAATAATACACTCTCTGACCCAGGGCATACATAGTTCAACGGTTCTAAGGCCATGTTTGGATGTTATCGGATTCACTTCAATCCATGTGTTGGGTAGATTGAGATGGAATTTAATTCAAATTCTTCTCCAATCCACACCATGTGGATTGATGCGAATCCGACTATATCCAAATAAGGCCTAATACAAACGTATTACATGGTTTGAGAGGAGTACAATATTAGTGGAACTTTATTTCACGCTACATCCCTGATACAGGGTGCTTGAATAATTAAAGAGCAAAATAGCCATCATATTTACATATGCAATAGCAGCCGTCATATTTACATATGCATCTACATAAAAAATATCTAGGATGCAGACTACCTTTCCGTAAGCTAGAATAACTAGTTTCCCCTTCCATAAGCCGGGGTGAAAACTCATAAAACAAACAAAAATTGGTTTATCGCTATTTTTAAGTTTCCATGGTGGTACCCTGTAACTTAAAACCAGCTTTCATTGCCCATGAGTCTTTTAAGGAGGCCAATGCTGATCTTTGAAGGCCCTGATGCATTCCACAGTGGACCGGATGCTACTTGACACGTCCTTCCCCAGCTTCGGCAGATCAACTCCTCCTGATACCGGAGGGTTGTCCTGGAACCTCAGAAGCTTCTGTCGAGATTCTTTCCTCATAGCCGCTAAATTAGCTGCATAGCTGATGGCATCCCATACCAAACCTCTGATGATGGTTACGGCATAAAATCTTGCTGAATCAACAAGGACGTTACTTGCAAAACCTGTAAGTTTAGAAGGCAGATCTGTCATTCATGTGAAAGATGCTTGTATATATAGAAAGGTTGGGATAGCAACAAACAATTGGGGACAGAGGGCTGCTAATCAATGTGCATTAGTAATGATAACATACTGTCAGCTTGCTAATTCAAGTGCACCAACCACATTTCCTGCTAGATTGCAGGGGATCCTTTGTATAAACAAGTAAACAACATTAACAAGGACAGGTGAAGCATGGTTGACTGAATATCCCCTCCAGGGCATGGCAACCATACTACCAAAAACACATTTCTTTTCACCAATTACTTGCTACTTGACCCAAATTTTCATTCTATTTCTCACAATAATCAGGTAGGGATAATAGTATTGCACTAACTGAAACTTCCGCTAAGAATTCCAAGAATTAGTCCCACCAATATCAACCGCAGTGTCTGATTACTTGTTGAAGGGAACAAATTAAGAACAGAGCATAACTAATTACCACCGTGGTCGTGGTTCCTGATGAGGCCGTGCTGCGGCAGGCCGATGCCGACGCCGGCGAGCGTGAACCCAACGCTGAACCCCACGCCACACCCGGCGCCGACGTACCCAATCACCTCAGGCCCGAACCCGGGGCCCCAGCCGACGCCGCAGCCGACGCCGAGCCCCACACCCCAGAAGGAGCCGGCCGTCGGGTGCACGGGGTTCCAGCGCTGGTACCGCCCGAGTACGCCCTTGATGATCATCCTCAGCTTCACCTAGGGATGGAAAATGAAAATGGATAACGGAACAATGCAAGCAGCAACCTCAGCAAAGATCCGATTTTTTTCCCCGCGGAAAAAAGGAGAGGAGAAGAAGAAATGGTGAGAGCCTGAAGTACCAGGGTGGGTTGCGCATTTGCTGCCGCTGACGCGGCTGGTGTTGAGCTATCCGGCGGCGGCGGCGGTGGCGGCGCGGGAGGGGAGGTGGGTGGTGGAGCTGGGGGGAGTCTGGCATCAGCGGACCTGCCGCTGCTGCTGGGTTGGTCGTGACTCGTGGACGCCGCCTTGCTGGAGCCCCTCGCCGCCGTCCGTGCGGTCTCCCAGCTACAGACCTAGGTGTGGCAAATCTTATCGCCGTCTCCTCTCCGTCGCTCGTTCTGTCCCAACCCAATCCAGTGCGTCGCCGTCGTGGGATGGGAGCCTTTTCTGACAGGAAAGCGAGAGCCCGTGCACTTCTGTTTGTTTTCTCGGGCCCTGGACGATTTTGGGCCAGCCCATCTGCGCTAGTGGTTGTTGGTAGACTCTCGGGCATTTAACCTGAAACAGAACACTTCCATGTTAGATGGAGAACAAAATCATTCTTTTAGGAAAAAATCAATCATCTAACCCCAGAAGTTCTGAGTTCTGTGACGGTTGAGATCATGGAACAACTCTACAAGCAATACACTGGTACAGTACATGAACAGAAACCAAAAGCCATCCTTTCATCGGATTATTTAAGAGAACAGAATCAGAACATATCAACATACAGTGACACAGGTTCTCAAACAACCTTGCTTCAAAGAACAAAAGTTCTGAAACAACCCTAGAGCACCAAACTACTCGTGATCAGGGCCTAAAGCACAATGAAGTGCTACTGGTTTGCTCAGGCAAAGAAGAAACAACATGTGTTAGAAAAGGTTCAGAACTGTACAAGAAAGCCATATCCCATTCATCGCTTGGAATCCTTGAAGCCACCGAAGTTGCCGGAATCTGAAGTGCCGAAACCACTAGAACCTCTGCCATAACGGGAGGAGCCTGAATCATCAGAGCTCCGGGATCGCCCAAAGTCAGCGTCACCACGTCTGCTGAAATCACCGCCGTCTCCAAAGTCACCAAATCTATCAGAACGACTGAAACGAGGCCTGCCAAAGTCACTGGAAGTTCGTCTGAAACCTCCAGATCCACCGCGGTACCTTGAACCTGAGTCACGGAATCCACCACCACGGTCAGAGGAACCACCAAAACTATCAAAATCACCAAAACTGCTGGATCGATGGTCTCCAAAGCCACCATAACCTTCACGGCTAAAAGGTCCGCCCGTTCTTCTGCTTCCAACTGATCTAGAGCGAGTATCTCTCGTGACATTAAACATGTCTGCAGCCTCATCTGAAACTGGCATCTTCGGAAGCTGCAAGCGGCAAAAAGAAATAAGTGGATGACTTTCCACATATCATCTCAACTACAAAAATAACTTCATCAGGATTCGATATGCATGGTTACTAAAATACTCTACCTCTGTGAACCTGCATCCTATATCTTGCTCGATGACCCTTACAGCTCTAGTCTGCTCATATGTGTATATTAAAATTGCACTGCCTTTCTTCCCTGCTCGTGCAGTTCTCCCAGATCTGTGAACAAATAACTCCGAGGTATTTGGAATCTCATAATGTACCACCTGAATAAATAAGGGGAATAACTCAAAACTATGCACATAAAAAGAGTCAGCAGGCGTATTTTCTGGACAATGAAAAAGTTTGTGTGCTAAATATTTCCATATAGTATACCCCAGGTCACTTACTAGATCAACATTGGGTATGTCTAATCCACGAGCTGCGACATCAGTTGCCACAAGGATATTAAAACGACCATCACGAAATCCAGAGAGTGTCCTCTCTCGTTGATTCTGTGAGATATCCCCATGCAGTGCCTGACATGGATAACTCCTTCCCATGACATATGCCAATCTATCTGCTTCACGTTTAGTTTGAGTAAACACAATGCATTTCCCACCATTGGCATGCTCCTATGACATGAGTGGGAAATGGTTATGTACTGTTTTTGGCATGTAAATCATAAAAACACATGTGCACTTAGGAGGATACTCACTTTAATCAAAGGACCAAGAATTGATGGCTTCCCGAAATTATCAGAGGCAATGGAATAGAGAGAGATTCCTTCAGGTAATTTCTGGTCTGAGTCACCAACCTGAGGGAGAAGGAAGCAAATGTTAGGGAATGCCCTTAGAATGTACATTTGCTGTGCTTAGAAGAAATCCAGATAAAGTTCAAGTGCTGATTTGGTATTCTTTTTTATAAAGGAAAAGGAAAAGTTTGATGCTCATCAGATGCTTCAATAATGTTTCTAGTCCTAGGAAGATCTATTCAATGCAGGACTTCATAATTATGCATGATTGTCACGAGACAAGCTAGGAGAAAGTAAGATAAAAATCACAGGCAAATAAGACAAGAAGTAACTCACAAGGTCAATTATAACTGGATCCTTTAAGTACTTGTTCGAAATTTTTCTTATCCAACTAGGCATTGTTGCAGAGAACAGCATACTTTGACGGTTCTGCGGCAACTGCTCCATGATCACCTCAACATCTTCATCAAAACCCACAGCCAGCATCTGATCAGCTTCATCTAGAACCACAAACTGGATCTGTGAAAGGTTTAAAACACCCCTTCTCAGAAGATCAATAATTCGACCTGGAGTTCCAACCACTATGTCAACACCATAGTTAAGAACTCTCATTTGTTGATTGATTGGAACACCTCCATAGACACAGAGGGTGTCCAAGGGAGCAGATTCTCTAAATTCCTTCTCAACCTGCCGAGAAAGTTCTCTTGTTGGTGCCAAGACTATGGCTAAAGGATTCCTACCGTTTCTGCATGCAGCACACTATGCAATTAGTACAATATATTCTATCTCCTGGTAAATAAATTGAAAGGAATTCCAAATGCTAAAGAGAAACAAACCCATTCTTCTCATTGTAGCTAAGGATCTTGTCCATGACAGGAATACCAAAAGCCAAGGTCTTCCCAGTCCCTGTTCGAGCACGGCCAATCATGTCTTTTCCTTGCATTGCTGGCTCAAGAACAGCCCTCTGGATAGAAAATTAGCATGAACCAAATCAGATTGGGAACCCAACAAATTTACATATATAGCACCTTTTTCAATTAAGATGGAGCAGGAAATAGGTGCAGATGTATGGCACTTGTTCTGAACTTCTGATCAATCGAGTTAATTAACATTTAGGTCAGAACATATTGAATCATAATACTGACTTAGCAGTCTACTAAAAAGGCAGCTTATAATAATTATTATACCTGGTGTAGGTTCACTGGAAGAATACAGCAGAATGGTAAAAGGGCTCTGTTATGCTCTACTGATTCCAGCATAATAGTTCCGAGCAATGCTACAATCTTACAGGTTTCTAGCCAAAATCACTGCCGAAATCAAAGTACACATGTATTTTTGTTCGAATTTGCAAACGCATCAGGAGGTTGCAGAGCACAGTATGAGAAGCGCAGTTTACAGCATGCCAGTATTATAGTACTAGACAACCCTGATGTTACAAAACTAAGAAATGCATTCTCCTCCATTCCACGAACAATTCCATGGAACTTTGTTAAAACTAGCGCTTTAGTAGCCGGTAATTACATTTACATCACAGGATCCTAACAATTCGGAAGCTTTTAAAAGGACGAGAGTGCCATTTCCATTCAAAATCAGACCGAACTGAGCAAAACTAGGCAGGCCGCATCATCATCCAATTAGCACGCGAGAGGAAGCACCTGGATGGGGAAGAGCCTGGTGATGCCCCGCGCGGCGAGCTTCTCCACGATCCGCGGCGAGATCCCCAGCCTCGCGATCTCCAGCCCCTCCTCAGCCCCCGTAACGCCCTCCCTCGGCCCGGGCCCGGACCACGAAGCGGGGGTCGACCTGAACCCCAGGGGGCCCGGCGAGCCGTGGAACGCCCGCCTCGGCGGCGCCGGCGACCCAGGCGCGGGCGCCTGGCATGGGCCGAGAGGGGCCGCTGGCGGAGAGAGGAGCGCGGCGAGGAGGGGCCTCCGGCAGGTGACGACCGGAGACGAGGTGGAGGCGGCGAGGGCGCGGCGGAGCAAGGAGATCATCGCGGCGGTGGCGGTCAGTGGAAACTCGTGGTGGTCTGGTGGAGCTAAAACCTCGACGTCGGGGAGAACCAACCAAGATTTTTCCCGTCTCCCATTTTCTCGTGGGCCGGGCTTTACGGAAAGGCCACGACAAAATCGGCCTAACACATTGTTTTTTTTTGGAAAGAAAACTACGGAGGGGAGAGCTTCCCCGCCTGAATTTGTATTAACCAACTCAGAGTTTCAGGTACAGCATAGAAGTTATAGTTACAGCACAGGGGACTATCGGCGTCCCTGGTTTACAGATACACACGATAGAAGAAAGGTACAACATCGGCGTAGGCCGCGAGTCATGGAGGAAGCAGAAAATCTTCCTTCCCAAATGGTGAGGTCGTCGCAGATACGGCCAATCACTTCTCGCGCCAAATGTGTTTCACTTCTGAAGATCGTGCTGTTCCTAGCTTCCCATAAGCGCCATAGAATTGTAAGCATGATTGAGGGCTAGGTAGCAGGGTCCTGTTGCACGGCCGTTGGCAGTGTCCAAACATCAGTATCATCCATAGTAGACAGTAGACCAAGCCCAATTGTGTTCCAAGTGTCAGCGGCTGAGCGGACAGCCAAAGAAGGTATGATGCCTATCTTCCATGGGATGTTCATAACGGCTGCAAATGGCATCTTCCTTCACGTTTTTGTAGAACAGATTTGCCTTTGTACTGAGTTTATCTTTGAAGTATAGCCATGCAAATATTTTCACTTTGTTTGGCACTTTTGTTTGCCAAATCCAACGCCCGTGGAAGTCTTGTATGGAGGGTGAAGGCGATAGAGCATCGTAAGCGTCCCTGGAACTAAATGGCCGTTGTGTTGTTGTAAGGCGCCGGACATCCTGTCCTTCCTGAAGGTGGATATCCCGCAAGACGTGACTAGGAGAGAGTCGAGCTAAGCAATCGCCGCTCGCGTTAACTCGGGTCTTAAGCACAAATCAAACCATACTGGAAAACTTGTTGCACCGAAATGTTAGGCCACAAAGTGTGAGAAAATAAGGAAGGGTGAGTGGTAACTAGAGATCCGGGGGACAGCCAGTGATCATGCCAGAACGAAGTAGAAGAACCATCCTGGATTTCCACATAAGTGATGGAGCGGTAGGTTGAGAGCTCATCACCAATGATCTTCCAAAGATAAGAGGTAGAAGTGGAAGGAGTATCGAAAAAATAGAATCATTTGGTGAGAAGCCAATCCCGCCAAGGAGTCTCGAACATGAAGAAGCTTGTCCACGAATTTCGGGAGGCAATGATTCTACAACTCAAGATTTTTTAGACCGAGCCCACCATCCGTCTTGCTGGTACACACCTGCTCCCAGGCAACAAGGCATTTGAAGCCGTGGTAGGAATCTTCACCCGTCCAAAAAACGGTCTGCGCCTTCGGTCAATAAGCTTGATCACCGCTTTTGTGGAGCCCCATAGCGAGTACATATAACGGAGGGGAGGGCACCGAGAACCTGCGGAGACAAGAACAAGGCGACCCGCTCTGTTTAGGAGGGATGCATGCCACCCCAGAGATACCTATCACGAGGAGGCAATGATAGGTTGGCAATCAGCAATGGATAGCTTATGAGGTGTCGGTGTTTTGAACTGTCGACTAGTAAATTTATGTTTGCGCGTCTGGCCCGCATGGTGTGCTCGGAGGACACAATGGTTTATCTTTGGTATTGGCGGAATGTCCCTACGCCCCGCTTTGAGGCTACTCAGTATTTTCGGCACTTGTTTGCAAAGAGGGGTTACAAGCAGGCGAGAGAGGAGAAGGTCCCAAGTCTCGATGGAAGGATCGAATGGAGTTGAGTCTAGTTGAACTCGGTTCCTTTCGGCGCCGCTTTTTGCCCTCCCCTTCGTGGGCGCCCAACTTCCCTTTTATAGTTGAAGGGAAGGCGAGGTTACACGTAAAGAGAGAAGCGAGGAGGAAGAAGGCCTCTAGGGTAGCGGTGCCCTTCATGCCCTTTACACGGGTCCCGTAGGTCCTGTAGATGATGACGGGAATGGCTCCACATCGTGACCCTGTTCATCATTGGCGCTATACGTGGGGCGTCGTCAGCCGGTCGTGGCGCTTCATTCTGTCCCGGCGGGCGGCATGGTTAGCAGATACCCCCGTCGGAAGTCGACGGGATTAGGTAGCATAGTGCCGAACGCTCGACATTGTTGGTGGACGTGAGTCTCGGTATGGCCTGTCGTGACCGTGGGTCACGTCAAGACACGTCTACTCCCTTTCTGGTGTCAGAAGTTTGACCCTAGGTTCATACTCTTAGACCCGTAGTGGTTGGAGGCGGTACAGACCCCCGTCTGGCGAGACGGAATTCCCCTTCGAGGGTCTCGGGCGAAGTCCGCGCCCGAGGGGTCGAGCGAGACGCCAGCGCGCCCTCGGGTCGACGTGATTTTGAGCCCGCGCCCAAGGGGTCTGGGCGAGGCGGAACCCCGCCCGAGGGGTCAGGCGACATGGGGCCCGCCACCGAGGGGTCGGGTGTGATGGAGCTCGCACCCGAGGCTCAAGGGGACGGAGCCCGTGCCTTGGGGTTGGGTGGGGACGGAGCCCATACCTTCGGCCTGGGTGAGACCAAAATACGCTCTCAACCATTCGGGCGAGTTAGCGTCAGAACCATCGCCTTCCTTCTTCTAGGTATCCCTAATCATCGACCCAACAATAGCCCCCCCAAGCCTCACGGAGGAGTAGGATACTCCTTCAAGGCTTTTTCGCATTTAAAGGATTACGAGGGTCTTGATCTCCTTTATGGGTCTGCGGGATGTCTTGGTAGGGTCGCGATTCCTTTCCATCGTATTTGGACTCTTGGAGAGCATGCAAGCTGCGGGATTCGGGGCGGAAAAGATCTCTCTTGATTCTCGATCTCTCCCTAGGATCCGATCGACTGCCATTGTCATGCGACCGCATATTCGGTCTCCTTGCGAGTCCAACCTTTGAGCCCCCACAGCAGCAAGGGTCCGGTCAAGGGTCACTCATCTTGTGGTCGTCCTCCCTGAAGCGTTTTTTGATAAAAAGCAGAGGGTTGAGCCGTGCCATGTTTTCCTCGATGGGACGAATCATGGTGCTCGGTGAGTTTGTTAATGGACTTGGCCGAGTGGGTCCCCGGCTTCCCGTTCACGGGGTCAAGCATGGTTCAACTAGTGACCGACTTGAGATTCCTCGATGGCGATCCATATAGTTCTCGGGTCGTTCGACCGGTCCCAAGGACCCGTTGCCTTTCTTCGAGGAAAAACCATAGACCATGCAACCACCAAGACTTCGAGCGTGGTCGGGGGGTGCCGTGGCGCTTCGGGCGCCGGGTCTTTGGCCGCTAGTTGGCCCATCCTTAACCACCCTCGCTCTAAAGGTGCCCCGAGCGGTTGTTAACTGTCGATGGGCCAACCTTCGAACTCCTTGGCCTTAATGGGCCGTGTGAGTGTTTTTAGCTCTGTATCCCTCCTTACCTGTGACGGTTTTCGGCCCATCGAGGGGCGAACCGTCGCCCGACGCGCCCTTTGAGGGGGCGGCCGGGGGTGGCGTGCGATGACTTCCGGAGAGGCGAAGTGACAAGGTGCGGCAGCGATCGATCGAGCGCGCACGGTTCACCTCTAGCTCCACCTTCCCTATAACTAGGGTTTTCCCTTCGTCTTTGATACGCCTAACCGTAGCCTCGTCCTCTCCGCTTCTCCGTCACAAGCACTCAGATCTCTGGCTCTTGCTCTTCCGCCGCCAGTGAAGTTCTTGTTCCTCCGCCCCTTGCTTCCCATGGAGTCGTGGTATCGCTCCGACATCACCCACACGCGCATGGAGGGTCTCGTCAAGCGCGGTCTTCTCCATGGGAGGACCGAGGCGGTGGAGTGGCTCGTTCCCGGTCGTGAGGAGGCGCCGCAGCACCGCCGATGGCTACGTCGTGTCCTTCACGCCCTTCCACGAAAAGGACTCATGATTCCTCCCCACCCATTCCTCTGGGATCGCCGCACCACTACCAGATCAAGTTGCAGCACTTGAATCCTAACAGGATCCAGCACATCGTGGCCTTCATCGTGTTGTGTAAAGGGTATCTAGGGATCGAACCCCACTTTGAACAGTGGAGGTACTTCTTCTTCGTCTCCCTACGTAAGAAAAGGGAGAGAAGTGGGGACTGTCGGTGCCGACGGGATGCTGTGAGCATCCACCTCTCGAGGCCACCGTCCGCCGAGTACATGACATGTCCACCGTCGAGGTCCAACAAGGGATGGCATGCGCTTTGGTTCTACGTGAAGAACGACGCCGCCGCCCCCTTGCTAGACTTCACTGAATGCCTAATCGAAGAGGCGCCGACGGTGTGGGGGTGGGGACCTCCCGAGAAGGAAAAGAAGAGGCTCGCGACCTCCTAGACGTGATCACGCTCTTGAAGAACCATGGTCTTCGCGGGGCCAGTGTCATCGGGCGTATCACGCGAGGAGGGTGGCGCCGCTAATCGCGCGCATCCTCCCTGTCTGAGAACGACGCCGCCAAGGCAGACTCGATGGGGACGCAGTACTCGCCAAGGACCGCTTCCACGGCGCCGAGGTCGCAGCAAAGCACATCAAGGAGGCGACGGAGGAGTCTCGACGCTGTGTTCCTAATCTGGGACATCCGTGATCTTGGCCGGACACGAAGCTTCGCCGAAGCTGCCGTGGGTTGGGCTTTAGGCCTCCGTCGTGCTGTTGCCACAAAGACGCTGACCGTGAGGCGGCGAACCACGCCGCAGATGAGAAGAGGAAGAAGAAGGATGAGGAGAAGGCGGCGATGGTGAAGGAGCGGCGAATTTGGATCGAGGAAGGAGGCGGCAAGGTTCGAGAGGAGGAGGAAGAAGAAGGAGAGGGAGGCGATGGTTCTGCGTCGCTCGTCCAATGGGACGAAGTGAGAGGTGGGGATGAGGACTCGCTTCTTTCTGAAGCGAGGGCCTACCCATGGCATGCCTTAGGGTAGGAGGGAGGATGTGCCCCTAGAGCCCGGTGGAATCAGGCCGCTCCGCCGTCTAGGGCCTTCCG